CTTTTATACTTTTCTTTGCAGCCTTTGGATTAGAGTCCTCCTCCTTTCTAATTCTGCTAAAGTCAGCCGCCTTTTGGTGCCTCCCATAGGGCTGCGGTTGGACCTTTCTCCTTGGTGGGCTGAAGTCCTCCTCTTGGTGGGCCAAAGTCCTCCCCTTGGTGCCTTATCACCATGTATTATGTTCTCTTAACCCTAAATTGTCCCAAATTCCCAATTTCTTGAAATTCAGCTCAATTAGGGTAAAAACCATTAAGAATCATCATCAAAACCATGTATAAAGTAATAAAAATAATGTGTAGCATACGCACACATCAAAAACCACCACACTTAAACTTTTTCTTGTCCTCAAGCAAAGATAATACTCATAAACTCATCATTCCCCAGATTATGTCCATCTATCACATGAATTTTAGGATGAGAATGTGTTAAGTGATAGGAAATCCTACATAAGCATTCTGATTCATCCCCACGATTGGCCACTCTTACCACATACATAAGTGCAAAGGAAGGGGAGAACATGAGATTCTTCATGCTCTATCACTCAATTCTGTTCAATATATATAGCAACTCCTTGACCACCATAACTAGCCATCACCTCGAGCTTGGCCTCCAATCCTGTCAATGCACTAAATTACATATCAAACCATATTTTTGTCCCCTTGAGCCTTAGCCATCACCGACTTCTCTATTTTTTTTGGTGTGAGTGCATTTTATGCTCCATCTCACACAGGTTATAGGGTAGAGGCAGATGACAATACTCATATTCTAAGTTGCTAGTTTTACTATTCAACTTGGAATAGCGGAGTTGGGATTGAACTCATATCATAAACCGCTTGTTTTACTATTCAGTTGATGATAGCGGAGTAATTCGGACTTCGTCCTTTCTTCTTCTCTTTTCTTTTTTTTTTTTTTTGAATCAATTCTGAAGTTCATGATGTTCACTGATAGCTCAAATGTTCATTAAAACTTCAACCAAGTACACTATACACATGAATAGAGTTAGTGCTGGCCATAATGAAAGTCCTATTCGACTTCCTCATCCTCATGTATTGTGATAAAATTGGATAAATCACAGGAACAAATTCTAGCACTTCATCGTATTCTCTCTTGGAATTCACCTTATAGACATCAATAATATTTAGGAGATTACCAGTTTATGCAGCCTATCAATGCATTTATGTATTGGGGTGATTGAGGTGCATAGCTATAGCCTCCCCCACACTTATCATGAGCATTGCCCTCAATGTTCGTATGGATAAACTGCAAATATGATTTCAGCAATGTGGGTAGTGCGACTTCAAGCATCTGAGGGGATTTAGAGAACTTCCCTGAAGAGCATTCTGAAATCTGAAGTGGCTCCTTTGTTTGGACCCTCTAGCTGCTAAGGATCAAAAGAAACTAGGAGGAGAGAATGAGAAATACTAGGGGTGATCAGCAATCTACGAAATTAAGACCCTAAAGAAAACTTGAATGATATGAAAAAAAGGAAAGCATAAAAACAAACAAATAAAAAAACTACTTATCAACATTGGGTTGCCTCCCAATAAGCGCTTGTTTTCTGTTTGAAGCTCGACATTCCAGTGGGATCAATGCTCGTCTAGGTATACAGTTGATGGGGTAGGCAATGTTCCATCCGCTATATATGATTTTAGGCACTGACCATTGACCTTAAATGTGCCTTGTGTCGAGTGAGTGACCTCTACAGCTCCATGAGAGAAAACTTGTGATATGGTGAAAGGTCCAGACCACCGCGATTTTAGCTTACCCGGAAACAACCGGAGGCGTGAGTTATATAATAGTACTTGCTGTCCTACCTGAAAGTCACGCCTCAATAAATATTTGTCATGCCATCATTTGGTTCTTTGCTTATAGATCTTGGCATTCTCATAGGCTGCAAGTCTAAATTCATCCATCTCATTGAGTTGCATTCGTCTCTGTGCACCTGTGGCCTGCAAATCAAAATTTAAGAGTTTTAGGGACCAATACGCTTTATGCTTAAGTTCAACCGGTAAATGACATGGTTTGCCAAAGACCAACCTATATGGGGACATGCCAATAGGTGTTTTGTATGCAGTCCTTATGCCCACAATGCATCCTCCAACTTGACGGACCAGTCCTTTCTTGAAGAGTCTACCGTCTTCTCCAAAATTCTTTTTAATTCCCTGTTAGCTAATTCGACTTGGCCACTAGTTTGAGGGTGATATGGGGTTGCTGTTAGACAGTTTTGTATGCCCTTAGCTTCAATCATTTTGATGTACTTTTGTTATTTAGTGGAAATAAATAAAGTACATGTTTGATTCATGTTGTTTGGTTTAATTCTGTGTAAAACCCTAAAACTGGACATTTGTAGAGACTCATGTTAGTTTTAAAT